CCATTCTACCAGCGGCCTACTAAGCGCGCGCTGGCCCGGCGCGGGCCACAAAGATGGAGCAGCGCGCCTGCACCCGCCCCACCCCCACCGGGGCTGCAGACAAAGGGGCAGCCACCCCTCCCCCAGCCTCTCCTGCATCCCCTCCGCCCTCTCTCCCCTCGGGCCGCCCTGCGGTGACTTCCTCTCCCTCCGGGGCAGCTGCGGACCGCACCGGGTGCGTCCCACCTGGGCGCCGGGCCGGAGGCCTCCCCGCCCACTCCCGGCCCGGCCCCGCGCCCTCCTTTAAACCGGTTCCGTGGGCCCCCAGCGCCTTCCCGCCCGGCGCCCCACCCCCACCCGGCCGAGCACGTGCTGCCCGGTGGGGGCTGGGCCCGCTCCCGCCCGGCGCCCCACCCCCACCGGAAACATTCCTGAAACATTCTTGAGACTGGGAGGCCGGCCGCCGCTCCCCTCCCCCCCACCCCGCTCAGGGCTCAGGAGCCCCCGCCGCCGGCGGCCCGTGAGGAGGGGGCTGGGCCGGGGCCGGGCTGACCGGGAGGAAGAAAAACATGAGTCACCGCCGTGTGTCACGGGCCGCATTGCAATTCCCTGCATCACGGGAGTGGGGAGGCCGCCCCGGGACCGGGCGCGGGGAGGGGGCGCGGAGGCTCCCCGAGGCCCGGCCCGGCCTGCAGGGAGCGCCACCGGCGGCGCCCTCTCTTCCCCTTGCCCTCCCGCCATCTTCCCACTTGGGCTTCCTGGTCGGTCGCGCAACAAGTCTTTGTTGGGCCGGCGCCAGGCGGCGGGGCGGCCCGGGGAGCGCGGGCGCCTCCCTGCCCGCACCGCGCTTCCCGGCGACGCCCGCCCCCGCCTCCCGTCCGAGAAGCCCCGGCGGGCGCAGAGCACGTCCGAGGGGTCCCCCCTCGGGGTACCTGCCCCGAGCCCGTCGTTTGTGTGGCCTTAAGGATGCACCGTGATTGAGGTTCACTTTCGGCCGCTAATAAATTAAAACTCGGATTTCACAAGTTTCACGTTTGAATTTCACAAGAGCGGCGTCTCACCAGGTGGCCACACGCGGGCTGGCACCGAAACGTGCATGCCGACACCTGTCCGCCCGCGGAAGGCTCTCTGGGCGGCGGGTAGGCCGCGAGCTCTCCGCCCCCGCCCCGCGGACCCCCAGGCACACCGTCCCTCACGTCCTCGCGCCCCGCGGGCCCTTATGCCCCTAAAAGTCATTCACCCGGGACAACCCCGTCCCAGGAGGGAGGACGCTCTCCCCCGCAACCCCAGGAAAAGCTCCTAGACGACCCCTCGGTGCCCTCCCCCAGGCTCCCCGTCCGGCATGGTGGGGAGTGGCCGGCACCTCGGGCACAGCACCGCGCCCCCCCGCAGCCAGCACCCACCCGCGGGGCGGCTGGCGGGCGGCCGCCCTTTTAAATCCCCGGGCTCATTTGCATGGCCCCGCCCCCCGGTGACACGGCTGGCGCGGGCGGGCCCGTCCCCCCTGCCCCTGGGTCGCTCTTTTTAAGCTCCCCTGAGCCGGGGCTGCGCTCCTCTAATTGGGACTCCGGGCCCGGGCTATTTCTGGCGCTGGCGCGGCTCCAAGAAGGCGTGAGTTCGCGGCCCCTCCGGTGGCTCCTGCTTTTTTAAATATCTAGCATTTAATGGGATTATTTATTGAGGCCGCGCACGGGCCGTGCCCGGCTTCCTGCCCCTCGCCATCCTTCGGGGGAGGGGGGATGTTCCGTGCCCCCGCCTGGCGGTGACACATAAATGCCCCGGGGGCCTGGGCGGCGAGCACGCGGCGGCGGCGGGCTCTGAGCACCTCTGCTCCCTCCCGGTTTCAGATCCGCATTTGCTACTAGCGGCGGCGGCGGCGGCGGCGGAGCCAGGCCGGTCCTCAGCGCCCAGCACCGTCGCTCCCAGCAGCCCGGAGCGCGCACACAGGCCGGCGGCCGAGCTCGCGGTGAGTCGTCCCCGGGGCCCGCGACCGAGGGGGGCGCCCCGCCGCCCCTCCTGGAGCCGCCGGGGTGCCGCGCGCGCCTCCAGCTTTATTCCCAGGCCGGGGCCGCGCGAGGCGCGGGCGGCGGAGGGCCGCGCGGCGCGGGGGCGGCGGCGGGGCCCGCGGGCTCGGGCGGGCGCCCGCACCGCTTCCCCCGCGGCGCGGCGCCTGCGGGGGGCGGGGGCCGGGGCGGCGCGCGGTGGGGGAGGGGGCGCGCGGCTGCGGCGAGCGCGAGGTGTGCACCCGGCGGAGCCCATGCACCTCGCGCCCGCCGCTCCCGCCGAGCCTGGGCCCGAGCCGGCCCCGAGAGGGCGGCCGGGGGGCGGGGGGAGGAGCAGGCTGCGGCGCGGCGGGAGCGTGGGGAGCCGGCCGTCCCCCGCAGCCTGGGGAAGTTCTAGAAGTGAGGGGGATGGGCAGGGATCCCGCAGTCCGGCCCTGCTCCCGCCAGGCCTTCACCTGGCGCCCCTGGCCGCCGCTGAGGCCGAGCCGCGGGCCCGGGTGTGGGGCTTCACCCCGACCCCACCTCTGGCCCGGCCCGCGCGCCTCTCCAGCCCCCGGGGCCAGGCCTGCCCTCCACCCCCACAAACTGGTTTCTCTGCTTTGCTGGGCTCTGTTGGAACTAGTCCCTTGGACTCCCCGTTTCAGTGTGTTTTCCTGGGGCTTTATTTTGCGGCGAGGGCACAGAGGAAGGTGGCTTTCTTCCTCTCCCCGCGCCCGCGCGCGCCAGGTTTTCTGCCCCAAGGCGGGCTGGGGTGCCCCCTCTGGCAGGAAGTGGGGCCGGTGCACCCGCGTGGCTGTGCATGCGGTCGGTCGGGGTGCACGGTTTCCCGCGCCTGCGAGAGCGCCCCTCCCCCCGCCCATTCCGGCCCCTGCTCCCGCCGGTGGACCTGCATCGGCCATGCAGGCACTTGCAGAGTCACCCCGGGACCCAGGGTGGAGCCGGGGCCACCGGGACTTCACCGAGCCTCCCGGCGGGTCCGCCAGGAACCTACTCCATCCTGTCCCTCAACTTGCTGTGTGACTTTAGGCAACTCACCAGGTTCTCTGGACTACTTTTTTTGTAAAACAAGGCAGCTCAGCGATGCTCTCCTGCAAGTTCTCTAAGCATTTGTGGAGCACACAGTACGGGCACCGCGTGTACAGGGGACAAGCTGGAGGACCAGAAGATCTTATAAACTAAAGGATTAAGATTGGGCCCTAAAAGTGGCTTTTCCACGACAAGCCTCTGATGATCAGAAACAGGTGGAAGAGGCAGCGTTGGTTGGTCTCAGCAGAGAAGGAGGGCCTTGGGCCTTTATTCAGCTAATGGAGGGCTGGATTTGGGGTGGGCGAGTGTGGGCCCCAGGGTCCCCAACAGCAAAAGGTGGGAGGAAGCACCAATGAATCACAAGCTTCCAGGGAAACTCATCAGCAGCCCAGCAGCGGGCCCAGCTTCACCCAACTTCCCCCTCTCTGAGGGGGGCCTCCAGCAGACCGGACTCATTTAGCTGATTAATTTTGATGTTTGGTTTGAAAGGAGACCTGTGGTGTAATAGAAGATTTTAATCGCTGCCTGTAATTACAGAGAGGCCAAGCCACTGATGATGGAGCAGGCTAACGCACCAACCACCTTGCTTTTAAAGGGTCTTCAAGTCTAAAATATTGTAAAACTGGAGAGAGACCAGAAAAGGCCCTGCTGCCTGGAGCACCCCGAAGCTTTGAGGATAGGGTCCTCCAAAAGTCACAAATTTGCAAAATGTTTTCTCGTTGGAAATTGTCTGAAAAGGAGAAAAGTCACTTTCAAATGTTCTAGTTCTCGTTTTGCATGAAAACTTCCCATTGTTGAGGAGCTTTAAAACTTACCTGGTTTGGCATTCACAGGGGGCTGGAGAGGGTTGAGGCAGATCTTACCTTTACCCCGTTTTACCGGAGCCAGTCCCTCTGGCCCAGCCCACCCTTGTCTGTAACTTGAGGCTAATGACTGGGATGATTTCCTTTTTTAATTACTGATTTGAAAGAGATCAGTTCGTTGTTCCCCTCATTTTGTGCATTCATTGGTTGGTCCCTGTATGTGCCTTGGCCGGGGAAAGAACCACCACCCTGGTGTATCTGGACGACACTAACCAGCCAGCTACCTGGCCAGGGCCTCCCTGTCCTTTTTATGCCTCGAAGGGGCTCCCAGCGACCGCGTGCAGGTGTCCTTGCAGGGGGAGGTTTTGGGCAAACTCAAATGGTGAGGCTTCTGAGAGGGAACATGCTCGAAAAGGACCCAGAAGCTTTTTAGGGTCGGACCTGCCAGGGCTTCGGAGGGCCAGCTGGAAGGTCCGGCCCAGTTGGAGAAGCCCCTCCTGTAAGCGGGGATCAAAGGGAAAGATCTCTGATCAGGTGGGCAGGATGGGGGTGAGGGGAGCTAAGAGACCCACCTTTCCGTTGTGGGCTCGCTCCTTCCCCCCTCAACCTTGCCCACTGTGGTTCAGCCACTTTCCTGGGTCCCCATGATGCCCCATCTTTGAACCCCAGGCTTTACCCTGGGGGAGCGTAGAGAGGGGCCTTGCTGGGGCCCAGGCACCAGCCGGCCTTGTGGTTGGTGTGGATGTCAAGGTTGGCCCTGGTAGCCTTAGGTCCTGAGCCTTGAGCTTGACAGTATTGTCAGAACAGTGTGTGGCCTCTGCTGCCTGGGCTCATTGTCTCTGCCTAACTTTCCTCTCTTGCTCCCTGCTGGCTAGATAGTCCCCCTTCCCCCTCTGAGGTGTGAAGACCCCCTCCCCATCTACACCTTTGCTCAGGACAGCTCCCCCTCAGCCAGGCCGGCCTGGGCCCTGGCCCTGTGGGAGTGGCGGGAGATAAGGGGTGATTAGGGCAAAGGGCTAGCTCCCTGCGGCAGCGGCAGGTGGGCATCTGGGCGCAGGCAGTTTTGCTGCTGTTCCTTGGAGGGTGGGGGGATGAGGGTGGAGGCGGCGGCTGGAACAGTTTTGTTTCACACCCCTTTTTCCCGCCTTCAGCATCAGCCACCGCTCCGCCTGCTCCATAGAGAAGGAAGATGAGCGAGTCTAGTTCCAAGTCCAGCCAGCCCCTGGCCTCCAAGCAGGAGAAGGACGGCACTGAGAAGCGAGGGCGGGGCCGGCCGAGGAAGCAGCCTCCGGTGAGTCCTGGCACCGCACTGGTAGGGAGCCAGGTGGGTGTCCACAGCATTGCCTCGCTTTACCCCTTTGGGCCGGGGAGGTGCCAGGCGTCCTGTAGGTGGAATCATTCCTGTCTGTCTGCATGTCCTCCCCGCATGCCTGCACAGCCAGCACTCACCAGCTCCCAGGCCCCTGAGACCCCAGCAGAAGGGACCACGCCTCAGTTCTGCACAGGGAGGCCACCTGCTCTATTTCCCGCCTGCCCTGCCCTGTGTGGAGAGGACAGTAACGATGAACTCTGGGAACGTGAGGGAGAAGCCTAGGGTCTTTAAGCAGGAGATCTGCCTCATATCCCTGTGGGGTTACTGTTAGGAAAGTTCTGGGTACTCACTGACCGTTTCTGCACTCCCTCATCGCTAGGACAGGGCCTCGCTGCCGGTGGCTGGCTTCGTCCTGGCTCTGAACAAGGAAATGGAAGCCTAAAAGTTGAAAATGGTGGGTGGGAGGGTGGCAGAGTGACCCTCGGAACCCTGGTGCTGTCTTCCTCCAGCCTGCCCTGTGGGGCACCTGGGGGGCATGGCCAGTGGGTGAAGGCTCTCCCTTCCTGGGGAGGAGGGGAGACCGAGGCCAGCCCTTCACACGCGGCCTCCCGCTCCCTGGCAGTGAGGGGAGAGGGGGTCTGTCTTGACTGGGAGTCACGAGCCGGGAGGAGTCTGGGGGTGGCATTCCGCTGCCTCTTCAGAGCCCAGTGTGCGGGGCACTCGGCCTTGCAGTCTGCTTCCCTGGGCCTCCCCACCGCCTGTTCCTGGGGTGGGTTGGGGGTCATAGGGGTGTTGGGTTACTGGACCGTGGTTAGAAGCCACCCACGGGGAGCCGTGGCCGCTTGCCTCTGCTGCCTGGCTTCTATGCATTATGCAGCAGCTTTTATTGTGTCTCGGGCTTATTAAAATTTTAGCGGCAACAATGGCAGGGGTCTCTGGGGTTTCTTCTCCCCGGGAGGCAGCTGGCGGGGGCCAGTTCACAGGTGGAGGCTGGAGGCTCCCTCCCAGGGAGGCATCCTTTCTGCTCTTCTGCGTCCCAGACGTGTGCTGCACGTGTGGCCTGAAAAGGGTGGGCAGTGGTGGTGGCTCAGGACTCTGCTTCCTTCATTTAACTTTGATGATGCCCTTTACAAACGAGGAAAGCGAGGCTCAGGCATGAAGGTCTTCCCCAGGATCTTGGGGTTAGTCAGTGGCAGAGCCGAGCCGGGCAGAGCTGCCGCTGGCCCCAGGATGCCGTCCCCAGGGTCTTCTTGTCGCAGGGGAGCAAGATGGTCCAACGACTGAATCCTGACTTGTCCCTGCCTTTGTGGGCTCTTGGCCGAGGGGGTGGCTTGCTGACTGAACTCTGGTTGGGGTGGGACAGGCGGCATCTGGGTCTCACTGCCTCCTTTGTCTTTGCAGAAGGAGCCCAGCGAAGTGCCAACACCTAAGAGACCTCGGGGCAGACCAAAGGGGAGCAAGAACAAGGGCGCTGCCAAGACCCGGGTGAGCTGGGGTGGAGGGCCATCCTAGTGCTCGCAGAAGGAGGCGTGGGGAGGGCGGGCGTGATGGGCAGCGGGGCCCTGCTAACGGGGAAAGCAGGGTGATGACTGAGGCCTCACTTCTGCACCTTGGTTCTCCCGGGACCATGGGGAAATCAAGTCAGAAGTCCTACAGCACCCCTGGCCCGGAGAAAGGAGGGCTGGGCACAGTGAGGGGGCAGCCGCACCAGCCTGAGAACGTTCCTTCTCTCCTGGGGTCCTGGGTCCGGGGGTGGGGAGAGGGAAGGCCAGCTTCCCGGCGGCATCAGGCTCTCAGAGGAGTTGTTTTGTTTTTTATTTTATTTTTTCTAAGACACGACTCATATCCTCTGAGTCATGGGAGGAGGAGGAGGGAGTGGGGGGCGTGTGTGTGTATATTGAGGGGGGCAGTGTGGTGGCCAGTCATCACCAGCTGGACCAGCTGGGGCGGGCCTGTGGCTGGGATGAGGTTCCTGGGCTGCCCTGAGCAGAGGAGGGCAGCCACCGTTATTGGATGAGCACCGATGGGGACATTTTTGACCTCGGTTTTCTCTCTGCCCTTCTAGAAAACCGCCACGACTCCAGGGAGGAAGCCAAGGGGCAGACCCAAGAAACTGGTAGGTGAAGGGGGTACAGGCCTGGCCCCCTGGGTGGGTGCGGAGAAATGGGTGAGGCCCACCTGATCCTGTGCCCCATGGAAAGCCGCTCTCCCGGCCAGTGGGTCGGGAACGATGGCTGTCGCACCTGGCCCGGCTCCGGCACCTGGTGTACAGGGCCATGTGCCATGACCAGTGAGGGCTCCCGGTACAGCACAGAGCCTTGCCCTGCACTCCTGGGGGCTGTCTGCTTCTAGAGGCGCCCTTGGGGGCCCTCTGATCCGTCCCCATCACAGGAACGAGGGGAAGGAGTGAGGCGGGTCTTTGCCCTGATCTGGGGAGGAGGAAGCAGCAGCAAAGCGCTCAGCGCTGCGGTGGTGGGGGAGGGGGTCAGTGCTGGGTGGGAGCTGAGGTTGTGACCCACATGGAGGCCCCTTTCACTTCTGGGCCCCCAGAGCTGGTAGCGGTGGAAGTAGAGTAGGTTTGTTGAGTCAGGAGACTGCCTCTAGGGGGCTCCCCTGAGTTAGCCTTCCCATTCCCAGCCCTTTCCTATCCCCAACCTGCTCCCTGAACTCCCTGAGGCATTCATTCCTCGAGCTGAGCCACTACCATCAGGGCTGGGGGGGGGGGGGGGGAGGCTGGGGGCTGGCTGGGCCCCAGGAGTGAGTAACAGGAAACAAGTTGTTTTGGAGTTTGTGCCTGGCACGGGGGCTGCAGCCCGTGGTGTCCCGACATTCCCGCCCCGTGAGTGAGCCCCTGGGCCACACACTTCCCCTTCCTCCCCGCCCTGGCCTGGGGTCAGCCTGTGGCTGCGGCCACTGTGTGCCAAGACCACCTGGTTCTCCTGCCCTCCACCACCTTTGCCTGCCGTTTCCTCTCCCTGGCTGCTCCTCCCCTCCCCAGCCAGTCAGTCCTCCCTTCAGCTTCAATCCGCTGTTCTGGGTTCGGCCCTGTCCCCCCCCCAGGGGCCCTGGGGCAAGGGAGGGAGGATGGCTCTGAGAGCAGCATGTGTGTTTTTTTCCCTCCTTTTAAATTCTTCCTTTTTTATGAATGAAGCTGGGCTGTGGAGGTTGCTGAGTCACCCACACACTCAGCCCTGACTCATCCCCCTTCTGGAGAGCCAGGGAGGGGTGGGGGCAGCGGGCCTGAGTTCCCTCCCCTGCAGCTGGGGGTGGAGGCGGAGGAGGGCCAGGCCTGGCACCGTGCTGATGGCCCTGCCTGTCCCCCTCACAGGAGAAGGAGGAAGAAGAGGGCATCTCGCAGGAGTCCTCCGAGGAAGAGCAGTGACCGTGCCACCTGCTTCCTCCCCGTGGAGCTGTTTCCTTCTGGGACTGGACAGCTCTGCTCCCCCTGCCCCGCCCCTCCTCCCGCCACCACCCACCCGCGCCCGCCTGCACCGCCACACTACACAGCACACCAGCCGGGCCCTGGTGGCCCGAGTGGGGACAGATTCCCAGCATCCTCTCCCCCCACATGCATTCCCCCCGGCATCCTGACAAAGCTGACATCCCACTTAGCTGCACCCATGCCTGCTGCGTCCCTGCTCCCTGGGTGGTGGGGGCATTGCTGACTGGGCTCCCGGTTTAGGGGGTCCCTTCCCCATTCTTACCTCTGGCTTCCCATCAGGGGGCCTGGGAGGACTCCCCTGGCCTTAAAGGGGCCTGAGCCCCGTCTCACTCTGACATGCCCACTCCACTGTCCTGGCAGCAGCACCTGTGGCCATGGATAGGGTTGTTTGGCCCCAAGATGACTCAACGAACCTGTGTCTGTCACCAGGTGTGGCTCACACCCACTTACCTGCCTTCCACGAGGCGCCTAGCCCTGCGCCAGGTTGAACAGCGCCCCCCTGGGGCGCAGGAGGGAAGGCAGGAGGGGTGTGAGCCCGACCCCATCTGCTTCCACTCTGACTCCAGTTTCCTCCCCGTCATGGGGCCCTAGCAAGGAGCGAGCCTTGCCCACTCCCACCCCTGCTCCTTCCCACCCCCCAAGGTTCTGGTTCCATCTTTCCTCTGTTCACAAACTACCTCTGGACAGTTGTGTTGTTTTTTTGTTCCATGTTTCATTCTTAGACATCTTGTCATTGCTGCTGCTACCAGCGCCAAATGTTCACCCTCACTGCCTCCTGTTCTGCCCACACTCCCCTCCAAGATGCTCTTGGGAAGGAGCCAGGGGCGAAGCAGACTGCCCCAGCCCCAGGGAAGGGGGGCTCTGCCCCTAGGATGCTGCAGCAGAGTGAGCAGGGGCCGGTGTTGACAGCGGAGTGTAGGGCCACCTTCTCCCCCCGTTATGCCGGGAGGGGGTAGCCATTTGTCCCAGCCTGGGCCCCTCCCTCTGGTTTCCTATTTGCAGTTACTTGAATAAAAATATATCCTTTTCTGGACTGGAGTCTGTAGGGGGGATGAGAGGGGTGTGTGTGCACCTGGTGGAGCAGGTGAAGGTGGAAACAATGTGTGCTGGGTGGCTCTGGAGCACGCGCGCGCGCGCGCGTGTGTGTGTGTGTGTGTGTGTGTGTGTGTGTGTGTGTGTGTGTAAGGGGGGTGTCTGTAGCTGCTATGCCCAGCTCTTGAGGGTGGAGGCAGGATGATGGGACGCTGTCACCTCCAGAGGTAATTTAAAGCCCTTGAAATCACCTCTAGCCACAAAACATTTTATTTACAAAGTATGTATACTGAAGACTGTACACCAGGCCCTGTCACCATGGAAAGCTCCCAAGCAAAGTCGGGCCCACAGAGGGCAGGGCTCTGCCCACCCCCAGAGGGAGAAACCCCTGCTGCCTGGGAGCAGGCTCAGCCCACCAAGCACTGGGGTGGGGTGGGCGGGAGGAGTGGAGACCCAGTGCCCAGGGGCCTGGGTGAGCAGGTGGGAGGGGAAGCGGCAGGACCCCATGGCTCTGAAGATGAGGGTGTCAGGTCTTGACATCCAGCAGGGGCATCCGCTTGTGCTGGTAGCCACTCTGCCAGCCGTGCACCACCTGTGGGGGAGGCACAGCTCAGGCCCCTGCAAGAGGCCTTGCTACTGGCCCCAAGGGGAGGGCTGAGGGCAGAGCAGACCCGCTCTGCTGGCTCCGTCTTACCTTCATGTCTCCCGTGTCTGAGAGTAGCTCCTGTTCAGCCTCGTGCAGCTCCTCGGCCGGGTCGTAGCTGTACATGGGGAGCAGGTGATGGCGAAGCCTGTCCACCCTGGGGAGCGGGGGAGGGGCTCAGCCACGCCCCCCCAACATCTGACCGCCCTGCCTCCACTCCCCCAGGCTCAGGACAAGGGCCTCTCCCCAGCGGGTAAGCTGAGCCTGGGCAGGAGAACCGGACAATGGGGTGCAGGGGCTTCAGGCTTGTGTCAGGATGGCTGAGAGCCATCTTACATGTGTGCAGAGCGCGCTAGTCCCGTGAGGAAATTTAAGCCCGATGTGGGGAGGTGCAGGGGGCAGGGACACTCACCGCTTTTTCTTCTGGACATACATTACCTGTAACAGAGACAGCGCTGTGGAGGCTGGGCAGCCTGGACAGCCCACCCACCCCCACAGCCACTGCAGGCAGCTCGCCAAGCTGTGCTCAGACAACCAGGGCCCCCCCCTCCCCCCCAGCCCTGGCCAGCAAAGGTGCGGGTGTATGTGTGAACGAAGGGGCTCCTTACCACAGCCACCACCACCCCGACCAGGGTGATGAGGAAGAAAGGCCCCAGCACATAGCCCACCATAGAGTCGCTGCTGGCCTGGGGGGCGCTGGGCACCGTGGTGTTACTCATGACATCGGCAGCCGGAGGACCGTGCAGTCAGCATGGGCAGTGCCTCGGGAGGGCGCCTCCACCGGGCTCCCTGGGGAGGAGGAAGGGAGATCAGTGCAGCCCCCGGTGCCGTCCCCAAGGGCCGGTGATACATGAAATCTTGGGCCAGGCACAGGGTTCACCCTGTACCCTAACCTTCCAACGACTCTCAGCAAATCCTGGGTGCAAAGGGGCATCTAGGGGAGGCCCAGACCCAGAGACTTAGTTCTGCCCAGCTCCGATCCCCAAATCAGGGTGGGGCCCAGCTCAGGTGCAGGCCAAACACTTGCAATTCTAAACTGGGGAAAGGTTAGATACAGGTTCCCAGCTCCTGCCCCAACCTCCTGGGGGCTGGGCTGCCAGCACCTATGCAGTGAAGCAAAATGGGGAAATCAGGTGAAAATGTGAGGGTCCTGCACTGTAGCCTGGGGGATGAGGTAGGCACACTGGAAGGAGCCCGTCTCAGTCCTGATCCAATCCCCACACTCCAGGCTACAGTATAGGCTGTGTGTGTCCCTGTCCCTGGTGTCACTCCAGACACACAGCCTGGACATTCTCTTTCCTGTGTCTCCGGCCCGGCTGGACACAAGTTGCATCTGAGGTGAAGTCCCTCCCTCTGGTCCCCACCCAGGACTCCGCCCAGGTCCCTACCCTCCTGGCCTGAGCTGACAAGTAGGAGAGAGGGGCAGCTCCCATTGACAGATGCAAGGAGACTGTCCTCGGGCGGCTGCCCACAGATGCCCCACGGCCCCTGACCCTGGTCCCCCGAGTCCGCGCCCGATGGCAAGGTGTGAACCACCTGTCCCGGTGCTCGCGGGGTCAGGCTGCTTAGTCGGGGTGGGGAGAGTATCAGGCCGTTCCCAGGGCTCCGGGAGCTAAGGCGGGGGAGGGAGGCTTGGAAAGAGCGTGGAGGGGCCCCGGCATCCTGGAACCCCGGAACCCCGAGGCGTGGACCGTGTCAGTGCTCCGCAGCCCATCCGCCCCGGCCATGCCTTACCTCCCGCCGCTGCAGCCCGGACAGGAACGCCCTCGCTTGGCTCCCGGGCCCCGGAAGAGGCCGGAGGCGCGTGATCAAAGGACCCGGGGAAGTGGGCGGAGCCTCGGGTTCGGAGCGCAGCCAATCCGGCGGCGTGAGGGCGGGGACGGCCCGGGCTGCAGGGCCACCCCGTGGCGGCAGGGGGCAGCCGCGGGCCGCGCCGGGGGGAGAGCGGCGCGGAGGGGCGGGCGCGGCTTCCCGGCGTGCCCCGGGCGGCCTCGTGGAGCGCGGCGCCGCCGCTCCCGTTCCCGGCGAGGCCGGGCGTCCTCGCGCCTCCTCCGTGGGGACCCGGGCCCGGAGCCGCGCCGCCTCTCGCGCTTCGCTCAGCGCTGGCCCTGGGGCCTCCCTCCCGGTGGCCCCGGCCGCCAGGCCTGCGTTAGCCCGCTGCGCCCTCGCGCCTGCGGCCGCGCGGAGGGAGAAGGGGCGGCGGGTCCGCTCTGAGCCGCAGCCCGGACCCGCCCGCGCGGCCGCGCCTCAGGCCTGAGGCCGGGACGCGGCTGGAGCGGTGTGAGCGCGGGCCCACCCCGCAGCGGCGGCCCACCCCGCAGCCCGCGGCCCCCCGCAGCCCGAGGCCCCCGCAGCCCGAGGCCCCCCGCAGCCCGCGGCCCCCCGCAGCCCGAGGCCCCCGCAGCCCGAGGCCCCCGCAGCCCGAGGCCCCCGCAGCCCGCGGCCCCCCGCAGCCCGCACGGTAATGGCCAGGCCGCCGGGGCGGGTGAGCCGGGTACAGCTGCTTGTGCGCGGGCCGGCTGGGTCAGAGCTCTCCGGCCTGGCCAGTGACATGCCACCCACCTGCCAGGTAAATGTGAATATTATAGGATGGGTGGGTTCGCACCAATGCCCGCACTCTGGTTGGTATGCTGTGGTTTTGCCCAAGTTAGTATTGGGAGCCCCAGCCAGGTGGCTCAGTTGGTTAGAGCATCGTCCTGTACCCCAAAAGGGTTGCGTGTTCGGCCCCGCTCGGGCGTGTGGGGGAGGCAACCCACCCATGTTTTTCTCCTTCCCCCTCCTCCCTCTAAAATCAATAAAAACATATCCTTCATTGACGATTCTTTTTTTTTTTCTTTTTTTTCTTTTTTTTTTTATCACTGGGAGAAGCTAGGTAAGGGGGTCGCTGCTATCTCTTACCACCACAGGGAATCTACAGTTACCTCAAATGTGTGTGGTTTTGCACCAGACCACTCCCCCCCCCCCCCCCCCCCCAATCACATACAATTGGGAAAACTCCAGACTGGCAGGTGATGGAAACCGCCTGAGAACATAGAGGTTGTTGCAGTTGAACCAGGCTGAGATCCTCCTCTTAGGTCCTCGGGTGCTGGGTCCCCCTATTTAAAATAAGGTGTTTTTTTTTTATTGATCTCAGAGAGGAAGAGATAGAAACATCAATGACAAGAGGATCACTGACCGGCTGTTCACCACCTGCCCTTCACTGGGGATCTAGCCCACAACCTGAGCATATGCCCCTGACCGGAATCAAACCCAGGACCCTCAGTCCACAGGCCAGCGCTCTATCCACTGAGCTGAACCAGGTAGGCACGGGTCACCCTGTTTCTGCCAGAGGCTGCCAATGGCATGGACACTGGGTCTGATCTGACCTGACTCCGAAGGTCCTTCCGGAGGAAGTTGGCTGATTCCGCTGAGAGCCAGATTGCAGGCGGAGACTTTGGCCTCTGGCTGTGGTGGGACTCAGAGGGAAAGCAGTCATAGAAGCGCCTGCGTTTGGAGGCTCCAGGGTCTCAGCCTTTTGAGTCTGAAGAGGAAGGAGACCATGCTGAGGAGCCCCCTCCCCAGGCAGACCTGCCTCACACTGCAAGGCAGTGGGGATCAGCTGATAGGTTTCACTTTTTAACATTTCCCCACAGTATTTGTTAATCACTTACTTATCAAGAGACCTATTCCTCAGCTCAAATACCCCCGTCTCATAGTTCAGGAACACAGCTCGGTGACAAGCTTCCACAGGATTCAACCCAAAGAAATTCTTTGCATTCCAAGATCCCTTGGCACTCTGAAAGATGCCAGCCTTCTTCATCTCCTCAAAACCTTCCCTGGGATTACAGTTCCTGTAGGAATCCGCACGTGCCTTCTTTCTTGGTCCGGCCCCCCCCCCTCCCCCCGCAAACTTACAGAAAGCTGCACCCTGGGACACAACGGCCACTCCCAACAGTGTGCAGTCACATGGAGGAAGGCCACACGGCTGGGGTTTGTGTCTGAGTCCTGGGAGTACTGGCCCTGGCCCTGAGCTAATTTGTCTAGAACAGTGGTCGGCAAACTCAGTCAACAGAGCCAAACATCAACAGTGCAACGATTGAAATTTCTTTGAGAGCCAAAAATTTTAAACTTCTAACGCCACTTCTTCAAAATAGACTCGCCCAGGCTGTAGTATTTTGTGGAAGAGCCACACTCAAGGGGCCAAAGAGCCACAGTTTGCCGACCACGGGCCTATGAAGTCAAGCAGTTCTTGACTTTAGGAAAAGGTGACTATGAGGGTATGTTAATTAAAACCAGGGACAGAGCCGGGACCAGTTTGGCTCAATGGATAGAGCGTCGGCTTGGGGACTGAAGGGACCCGGGTTCGATTCCGGTCAAGGGCATGTACCTTGGTTGTGGGCACATCCCCAGTGGGGGGTGTGCAAGATGGCAGCTGATCGATGACACTCTCTCATTGATGTTTCTATCTCTCTCCCTTCCTCTCTGTACAAAAAATCAATCAAATATATTTAAAAAAAACAAATAAATAAAAATAAAACTGGAAACAGAGAGAAGTAGGAAGGGCTTAGGATAGAAGAAGCCACAAGTGAGTTAGGCTGGGCTGCCCTAGCTCTCTGGGGAATCAGAGAAAGGCCTTGGGGACAGGGCTAGGGGTTGGCCTGGGATGAGCTGCTGCTGCCCATTGCTCCCCTGGCCCCTTAGAGTTTAGGAGATGCGTGCATGGGGGGAAGAAGAGGGAGAGGGGAAGGCTCCCAGGAGGGAGAGCGCACACTGCATCCTTTGTCTGGAACCTTTTCTCTCTCTCTTGCAGGCAGGAATCTCAGGGGAGGGTTACAGCAGAATATTCATCCATTTTCTAGGTGTGTTGTTGTTAATCCTCACCCAAGGAAATTGATTTTTAGAGAGAATGGAAGCGAGGGAGAGAAACAGAGAGAGAAACATCGATGTCTCATGTCAGTGGGTTGCATGCCCACAAGTTGAGCCTGCAGCCTAGATACATGCCTGTGACCAGGATCAAGTCTGGGAGTGACGCAGGAGAGAGCATCAGTTCATGAGCTGACCTTCTAGCACTGAACCGAATCAGCTGGGGCTCCAGTTGTGGGTTGTTTTGTTTTGTTTACATTCACAGAATTTATTTAAAAACAAAGCCCCCCTATAAGTGGACCGCACAGTTCTAACCTGTGTTATTAAAGAGCCAACTGCACTTCAAAATAGCAGTTTGTGCTGTTATTCAGAATTATTTCTTTTTTTTTTAAATATATTTTATTGATTTTGTACAGAGAGGAAGGGAGAGAGATAGAGTTAGAAACATTGATGTGAGAGAGTCATCAATCAGCTGCCTCTTGCACACCCCCCACTGGGGATATGCCCACAACCAAGGTTTGGAATTGAATTGAACCCGGGACCCTTCAGTCCCCAAGCCAACGCTCTATCCATTGAGCCAAACTGGTTTCGCCCAGAATTATTTCTTTTTAAAAAATCTTAATTGTGTAAAGTATTACATATGTCTCCCTATTTCCCCATTGACCCGCTCCAGCCCCATCTTCCCACCACCCAGGCCCTTTCCAACCCACTGTCTGCGTTCAGGGGCCTTGCATATCTGCATACGGGTTCTTTGGTTGATTACTTCCCACCCACCTTCCGCCTCCTTCCCCCTGAGATTCCGCACTCTGTTCCATGCTTCCACGTCTCTGGATCCACTCTGTTCATCAGTTTGTCTTGTTGATTAGATTCCACATAG